ATTGGTTTAACTAATATCACTAAAGAAAATTGTGCACAAGATTAGTAATTCGTAAATAATATGTAGTTACATCTCGTAAATAATTGATCAGTGAATACTTTTAATTTCCTATTTGATCATTTTTTGGAAATAATAAACCCTAGGCTAACGACAAAAAAGGAAGGATACACAAGATTTAGTTAATATATTTTCGGATACAAAAATTTAAATTCTAAAACATATTGCGAAGCTCATAAGAAAATGAAACAAGGTTTTTGATGACTTTGCTAAAATATCTAGATTCTATTAACAAGTTCCAGTTTGGTCCTGGGAAAGTTCCGTTTCAGCCTAGTTCCGGTTTATCAGGGTTCCGGTATTTCGAATTACGGAAATTTATGAAAATTCATAAAATAAACTACTTTATACATATATAACTTATAAAATTTTCAAGGTTTCTTATTAGATTAGAAGGATTTCTTCAAAATTTCCGTTAATCTGAATTTTTAAATTATCGTTTTTACTTATGGAACTTGCTAAAAGTTATATGTTCTCAAAAATACAATTTAACAAACAACAAGAATAAGAAAAAATAAATTATTAAAATTGGATAGGAATAAAGGTTTTAAGTTTTAGACGTTTAGAAGATGAGAAAATGTTTGGCGTTATATAAAATTAGTTTGTGGTGAAATTAAGGCTATTAAAGTGATTAATAAATAGGTTTCTTTATTTTCTTTTAATTCTATATAAATGTAAAATTAGAATTCTTTAGTTATTTATGAAGGTTCTCTCTAGCGACAGAAATACATTAGTGGTTATCGAAATCTAAAAAAAGTTTCGAATTCCTAACATATTTACAAAAAAGATCATATAGTAATTTGCTTTTATTTTAATTTTAATTGGTTAATATTTATAGCTTACAAATTCGAACATTATTATCTCAACATTAGCATAAATAACTAAAGACGAAAGTGGAACGAAAACACTTTTTTTTTAACAGCTATTTTTATTATGGTTCCGAGTTTCAACGGTTTTGCTAATAAGATTTTATTATATATAGTTTTGCCAATGACCCAGTTGAATCCAAGATTTTTGCTACACATAGTTCCTCATACTATAGAATCCTATTCCATCCCAAATCCCATACTATATATATCCCAATCTCAATCCCAAATCCCAAATCCCATTTATTTATAAATAATTTTAAGTATAACAAACGATTTCGCTCAAAACTAATGATCAGTATTTAATGATATTTAGCTCCTTAGCTTTGTCTTGATGAGTGATTTATGACTTTATTTTTGCAAATGGGAGGAATGAGATTTGGGATGGAATGGGATTGGACTTAATCCCATACCCATATAGTATAGGTAAACAAGTATATTCGGAACCAAATCATAAAATTATTAGATTCAAAATTTAAAATTTCGTAAATTTTTCACTACGACCGCGAAGATGATAGGACAAGAGAATAGTGATTAAAAATTGCGAAAAGAGAAGCGTGTTTAACATTGAATTTACCTACCAAAAGTTTGAAGAAACGAGAAAAATTATAATGCTTACAATGATTAACCATAAATTATTTATTGGAATTTAACCATTATCCTCTATATAAGGCAATGAATCATAATATTGGGCATTACTATTGTATATTTGTAAGTAACTTTTTACGAAATTTTAAATCACGATAAAACCATGAGCAGGTTGCTAATCTGAAAAAAATATAAATAAATTATATCATTGATCGAGAAACATTCCAAATGTGAATACTCCAAGAGATCGTATTAAAAAATGAATAAATGTGAAGTATGTAATTGATTAAATTGTTTGCTTAGTTTATAAATAACAACTTCCCGCGATAATAGAATTATGGTCTGTATTCATTTTAAGATCAATTTTTAAAGAAATTATTTAAATATCCTGGCATTTATGAAATTTCATGAACTTTTACTAAGAATGAATGAATTATTGTTAACAGTGAATATAGCTCGATTTAATTATCCATTTGAAAAAAGTTGATATAAAAACAATTATTTTTACGAAAAAATTTTATTAATTCTTTATTTTTCCTCACAAAATATAAAATGAAAAAATTATGTAATCAACCAACATAAAGGAAAGACCTCAAAACCTATGAACATGAATTAGTTGATAAATTATAAGGTGCGTTAGTTTATAAAATCAGAAATAATAATTAGCTATCTGAGAAAACTTTGTACACGTCCATTTCTGGTATTCCTAGCATCTTTAGGACGAGATTTAAATTTTAGACGATAATATGAAAGACTTTGTCATTTCGTGACCCAATAGGATGAAATAGGAACCTTTTCAAATTCCTACCTATTAAAAATATTAAGGATGGATAAAAAAATAAAATTAATGTTGGGATATTTGATTACAATTACAATTAATCATTTATTTAACTTTATAAAAAAAAAAAATATATTAAAAATATAAAATTTTTACAATCCACAATACGGTAAAAGATCATATCTCAATAATTGTACCCTACCAAAGAATCAAGCTATCGTTGCTTAACCGTCGTCTTCGTCAGCAAAAAGTCGAAATTTTATTTTTCGATTTTGACTTTCGAGGAGTTTTCTTATATAAAGTTTCGACATTCGACGATTTTATAAATTATTATAGTTTCGACCATTAAAGTTTCGAAGGTGCCGTCGAAATCAATCAAAGGGTTTTTCACGCAACTAAAGATTTCCTTTTTTCTAGGGATGTTAAGCGGTCCTAAGCGGTCCTAAAGGTCCCAAGAAATTACAAAGAATTATTTTTACAAATTTAATATTAAACTTGTCTATTATAATGTTTTAATGAGCTACTTAAAGAAAATAAATAATAAACCCTCTTGAAATCCCAGTATTTCTTAAAATTTAAAATTTAAGTATATAGGACCGGATCCTATACTTAGCGGTCCCATCAAAATTGCCAATTTTGAATATCATTTTCGCTTTTTGCAAATTAATTTATGACCGAAAAAAACCAATAACTACAAATGTAATTTTAGTTTATGGAACGCCGCATGAATGAAGGTCGCGCATTGAATGTAAAAGAATGTTATAGTAACATTTTATTAGTTAAATGTCTACCCTTTTTTTCCATGCTGAAAAATCAATTAAGCTTTATATACTGTATATTACCTCGGAAAAATTACAGAACAGATACCATAAAGATCACATGCTTTAAACCGTTTCTGCATTCTAGTTCTTTTTTATTTGCCTTTCTTTTTAAAAAAAAAAATTACATGGATATCGGAATTGCGGTATTTATTTTCATTTTATTTTTTGGAATTTTATAAGTTTTAATTATTATATTATTCTTTTCGATCTCGATACATGCGTACTGCAGTCGATCATATCACATTATAAAGATTTTATTAAATTTTTTTTTTTACAATCATATATACTAAATTATAAGCATAATAAGCTAAGAATGCTACCATGAGAACATATTACAGCTCATCTTTTTTACCACTAATGATGCTCTTAAATTCATTCTATCTTCTATTTCGTCTTCTGGTTACTACAGTCGACTCTGGATATAACGAACCTGCTTATACCGAAATCTTATTATACGAACCATGTGTTACAGAACCGATTTTTTTATAATTGATTACGCTGGTTATAACGAATTCATATAATAAAACGTTATATACCGCATCCGAACTAATCTTAACCTGTTAAGCCGAACGATCACGTGATTTAAAATTTAGCATATGAGATTGTGTAATTGACAAATGTTAACACTATAAGTTATGTAAACGCTGATAATTTATTTTACCAACGCGATAAGACTTTTAATATAATAAATTGATAAATTTTATTGTTACGAAGTGATCACGTGTCTGTATTTTTATTGGTCAATGTTATATACTGAACAGTTCGGTATAAAACATGATTATCTATATAGCGAACTCACTTTATACCGAACCAAATCTTCTGGAATGGCAAGTTCGGTATATCCAGAGTCGACTGTACTTCCCCAGCCCAAATTTCAGAGTGATTCTTATTCAACCATGCCTGTGCTCTTCGCATATCATTCTCATTTCGAAAATATAAAAGCAAGGACCCCGGATGTTCACGATCCACCAACCGAATAAATTTAAATTAACAAAGCACTCCATTATGTCATCGTTGCTCCAGTTACGGATTGAATCTCCGTCAGTAATTTAATTCTAAGGACTCTCATTTCTCCAGTTTTAACTTTTCATAAAAATTATCAAGTTGGAGGGTTCAAATAATTGGTATTTGATCATCCGTAGTACAATACTTATTTGGTATATCACGTGAGACAGACACCCCAGTATCGCCAACACTTTTTTCACCCCATCCATTTTCATAAGTATTGGACAGAGAATGAAAAATATTTTTTTCACGCCCCTTATATGTCACCGGTCACGTTGGGATGAAATTTTTCATATAAAAAGTGTTGGCGATACTTGGGGTAGATAGACACCACATGCATACTTTCAGGTCTAACCGTAATGTCCTACGCTTACGCTTCGAACAATTAAGATTTGTTGGCAACAAATAGTGAGAAACTCCCAGAGAAAGATTATGGCCATTAAATGATACGCCTAGTAATAATATAAAGGGTACGTATTTAAATTGAAAAGGTTCCGTCTTGTTAAAATTTGAGTTTTTCACAGAGATTCAAAATATTTCTAATTTCGAGTTGTAATTCAACAATATCCTGATTCTTTTTAAGCAAATAATACTAAGCATAGAACCAACAATAATTTAACACCTGTTATCCAGTACCATATTTCTAAATTCCAATTTCGTTCCAGGGCTATCTTAAGATTCCAGTAAAAATCATTATTACCCGAGACAAGAGCAATTGTAGCGGGTGTCTTGGAGAAGATCACCTCATCAATATAGTGCCCAACTGCGTTATCAACACTTTATAACATTCCGATTAATAATGACTATCTTATACCCATCTTTATAAATGCGATCCCTCAACGTATCAATTGATGGTGGTCTGGAATTGAACGCTCACCTTTAATGTCCTCAAGCAAGCCTTCCATAATCAAGAAAAATTTTAGAGTTCTCAGTCATATGCTCAATTCGACAAATGGAATGATATGCCTGGATAAAGAAATTCGAGTTATCAACAAATACATATAAATCGTCAGATGTCCCCTTATTTTCTACAAGAAGATTATTTCTCTGCTAAGTCATAATATTAACTTGATAGTAACAACAAGGATTATGCAGCAAAGCTTACCTAATTTGACACTTTTTTGACTAATTTCGTAAGCCTTAATGACATTATCAGGAATTATATTTTTGTATTCTTTTGCGAAGACTAAATAATCCATTTTGACCGTTTGTAGAAGAAATTGTTTGTTTACTTTTTATATTACATCATCACAAACTCATTTTTCAAATGTTTGTAAACCAATATGACATTATGACACGCCAGACGTCAATTTTCTGGACACACTGTAAATCTTGTGTAACTTATACTGAGTCCTAGATATATTTCAGAGATCTCAACGACTTAATCATTCTACAGGTGTGTTAATTTTAAAAAAAGCTACATAAAATTCATCATCTTTGTAATAATTGAAAAGAATTCTTGATGGTGATATTTTAATTGGTGGAGTAAATTAAGTGAATGAGAATCCATATCTGTTGATATTTTTGGAGATTTTGATGGAGGAGAAGTTGTCGTTGCTGTTTAAAATTCCATTCTGAGCAGTAGATTTTTTCGTATGTGAAGAAGACGAAGAAGATGATGATGATAGGATGACGACTAAGGTGTAAGAAGTTTAAAGATTCAATACTCGTAATTTCTTGATGTAGATGTTTTTATTAGAAAAGTTATGTCATTTGGTAAATGCTTAATGGAGAAGTACTTAATGGAGAAGAATTTTCAATAAACATTATTTGATGTGGTGATTGTTGAACGTGCTATGCATTACTTTCAGAATACTTGCACGAATACTAGTATTATTCGTAGAATAATGATCAACAGTATCTTTATTATAAAAGAATCATCCTCAATATGTTATTTAATAACATTTTTGAAGCTGAATAAAAGTTCATGGATAATGTAGGCAACATTTTTTATTTATTCTTGTTGCTCTTGATGTAGAAGCTTTATGTTTTCTGTAGTAGTTCACAGCTGTAATTTGATTTTATTCTGGAAGATATCTAACAAGGTTTTTTTTTTGTTTTAATATTGCTTGAATCTATTAATGATGCAATTCCTTTCATTATTTTACCAACATGTTTACTTTCGTTTATGTATTTATAAACAATTTTGAATGTAAGCGGGAGGTTCTTATTGAGTAAAAATGAAGTAATGTTGACGCTAAATTTATTTAATAATATCAAATTAATCAGTGTTACCTCAACGTTGGCGCTCTACATTTCGTAATGTCAATATATTAAATGCCAATCACCAAAATTCTAATTAATTAAAACTGCGAATTATGAAAAATTGTGTAATAAATAATAAGAAAAATTAGGAATTAAAAATAAACGAAATTACAAATATAAAATTAAAATGTTAAAACGACGAAAGCGAAAATATCGCGAAGGGATAAAGGAAGGTTTAAGGTGTATATATGCAACTATAATATGGGGCGATAAAGGATTTGCAGCGCGTCTTTATAAAAAAAACAATTATTAATATAGTCTGGCATGCCATTTTGTCATCCTGCCAATCTGGCATCATCCAATCTGGCATCCTACAAAGGACTAGCTGCAAATATCGAAAACAATTTGAATGAAAAATTACGGTGTTTCTGGGCGGAATTATATTTAATGTAACAATACCTTTCAATGAAATCAGAACTTGGATATTTATTTCATAGATTTGAAGTTAGGTCGTACAAATCTGAAATTCAAACTTTTGACAACTTACCCATCATGTTATTATTATTAATTAATTTAGTGAATACAAAATATTTTAAGTTTATATATTTTAAGCTTTTTTTAATTTATTCAGTGCCCCAAGTTTCGCTCAGAATTTATGGCATTTTTATAGTACTTGCTGAATTCCAATGTATTGGATTTCATGCACAATGAAATTGATGCTTGAATCGATGTCGAACAAAACTCAATTTGTGTGTTAGACATACAGTACATGCATAAAAATATATTTCAAAAAAGATAATTGTAAAATTATTTTAAAAAATATGGCTATGGAACAATAATAATAACAATTTTGAACTTTAGGCATCAGCAACATACTACCCAATAACAGGTGAAACGACATACTTATCATCAATCTTATCCTGTCTAGCATCCAAAAAGCCAGCAGAGAAACTCAATTTGAAATTCTCTTTCTCAATATTTAATTTAAATGGAACGTTCACCAATCCGGAAGGTATTGAAGAAGGAACAATAGAATTTTTCGTAAGTTTGAATCTTGACTCAGTATATGGTGTTAAACCTGGAATTGTGCCAAAACTAAGCTAACAAACTAAATGTCTTATTAACTCAACTATCTCGAAGGCCTTTCCTAAGAGAAATAAACGATTAACAATTTATTATCACGATTCTCCTGTGTAGTTATAAATCACGATCAATCCTGATATGAAGAAGGTTGAAAGTGTAAATAGTAACTTTATTAATCTGTAGAGTTATAAGTCTAATGCCAAGACATATTCAGAAAACTATCTGATCGAACTCTGTTGATTCAAGGTCAACCTACAGGTCTATTAATATAAAATCACTAATTATTACTATACTACACTACGCCTGTCGATGTAAAAAAAAAAATTATTCAAATGCGTTACGTCACTTTAATATAATCGTCGCATTGTGAGGTCATCCGAGGCGCAGTATGATTTGTGACACGGAAACTACCAAAAGTCTTCTTCAACGTTTCCTTTATAGGTGTAAATGAATTGAGCCACCACCGGTTCCAGTCTATCCAACTAAAATCAAGGTTCAATCATAACCCATGAAGTTTTGCTACCTTTTCTTGAAGACGTAACCAATCTTCTAAGATACCATCAAGTGTAACCTTTGGAATACCACAACCACCATGCATTTTGTAGGCAAAATACTTTTTCATTGAATCCAACAATATAATTTAACTAGCGGTGATGGATGCACTTGTTGATGTGGAGAAATCACATTCGAAAAGTTGTTTTAAATCAAATTTTTTACCATGTTAATCGGTAGAATCTGAAAGTCGAGCAATCGCTTTCGGCCAATCACCTAAGAAATTTCTGTTGATCCATTACTGCCTCATCCGGCACTCTGAGATCTTGTATCAAAACGATTAAATAAGTTTATTGTTTTATTTTTTTTAAAAAATAAATTTCATGGATGGATATAGTTCACTTTACCTCATATTTTCGTCATGCAGCATTTAGTTTACAAATTTAATATAAGAAATAACATTATATTAACTTCCAAGATGATTGGTTTGTAAAATTTATTCATGCATAAATGTTATAATTTTTTTAAAAAACAAATGCTTTACTTAAAATATTATATTTCATATCGAGATTTCAGTACTTTCAGTTTATTAACATATAATAAGCTAATAATCTGATCCTTTAGTAAAGAACCTATTGTGTAACTAGCAGAAGGCTTTACTATTATTGCTAAGTTAGTATATCATGGGATTATTAAAAGATTATATAAAGAATGTTTATATTTTTACAAAGGTAAAATCAAATGCCATTAATAATAGGTAATAAAGATATATAATCTAAAGAAAAAATAGATAAAACTGATTCTTATTATTGTTTGCAATAAACCTTGGATAAATAATTAACAAGTCTGTACTTTGTCAATTTCTTAATTATGCATAATCTAATTTTTTTACTTCACCCCTTTCCTTGGCTAATTATTTACTAATTTACATATAAATATAATTAAATACAACTTGCATTTAATATTGCTAAGTATAAAGAATGTATTAAGACATAACTTTAATTATTAAATTTGATTATTTTATCCTAAATATGAAAACAATGTTTAAATTATGTAAAAGCTTTCCCACTGAAATTCAAGCTAAATTATTAAAATGTTAGCTTGATATACAAAATATTTTATATTGAATAGACTGAAATAAAAAGAAATATAATCTTTTATTTTTAATTACCTCGTGCACAAGTTTTTTTACAGTAGTATTTTGAAGTTATGAAATGATTTTAATGCGAGATATTGCTTTGAACTTTTCCAATTTGCACGATAGACTTTTCCAAAGCTGCCAGTACCAATTTCTTGAAAGTTACTAAAATGTTTGTATTCGTAGTGAGTACGATTCTTCAATCAACTCAGAATTGTTGGCAGCTTGCATGATAATTTATTAAGCTAAATGAACTAAAATTCTTGGAGAAAAAAGAAAAAAATATGCACATTTTAAGCCACGCAGATTTTCCTTAAAAAAGAACTGATAATTTAAACTATTAATGATGATAAAATTACGATATTATGAAAAATCAAAGTTGCTTAAATAATATCATTTCCACAAATGAATCGAACGTAGTGTTAAGAAAATTAACAATGTGGCGCAACACGTAAATAACTATTTATTGTAAGAAATTCCTGCTTTAGTCGCTTATATGTAAAGTTGCTTTTTTTAATTTTTTCCACAATAAAAAAGAGTGAGATTTATATGCAGACATTATTTTTTCTCTATTAGCCAGCATCGTTTAAAGTTTTTTAATTTTCTAAATTTATTTTTAAATTTGTTTCATGTCTCTTTTTAATTAATTTAACTAAAAATTTATTGGCATTTTCACTGATATTCCTTTCATATCCCTTAATTGGGCAGCATAGCGAATTTTTCTATATTTTTCATCAAAGTAAAAAAAAAAGGTAAATTGAAATTTCCACGTAAAAATTGACATTATATATAGGAATATAAATGGAGGTATGAATCACGAAAGTGGCGATGATAGCATTATCTTTTTTTTTGTACCTGATCTAATATGATAATAAATTTTCATTATGTTGTTCTTTATTTAAATTATGTCTTAATTAGGTTATGGTAAAACCTCAGATGCATGAAACTCTTTATAAAATTTAAATTTTCCAATGAAAATGGATCTTATCTGACGGTGATTTTTTTTGTATAAATTTTTTGGGTTAAAATTACTTTTGATAAGTGCGAAAATGTTCGAAGAATAAGAGAATTTGAAATTAAAAAAAAAAATACCAGATAATTAAAAAAAAATCATAAAAAAAAAAATAATAATAAAGCCTAACCACAGCAGAATCTGAAAAGAATCTCGAATATAAACATCATTATGTATTTTGAAAACGCACGCAAATAATAGAAATCAAATTTTGTTCGACTGTCAAAAGCCGCAATAATTAATTGTTTATAAAATAAATAATTATTTAAAAAATTTATCAAAAAAGTATATTTGGGAGGTTTGCTATTAAAATCAAGTTACGACCATAGTAAATCATATGATCCATGTCTAATTATTTGATTTGGATCACACAGCCTCGATTAATTAAAATTATAATGAAAGTATTACATCGCATCGTTATCTAAATAAAACTTTAAGATTTATAAAAAATTAGGCGGTACTGCTGTAAGGCAAATCATGTAGCTATTCAATATTTCAACAATGAATGTCTCCATTTTTAAAAATATATATTTATATTTTTTTTATTTATCATCTTGGCATCGTGCGTGACAGCCTGTCAAATGATCTTCAAAGGACTAACTGCAAATATCGAAAACTATTTACTTTAATGTAACAATATCATAGAAAACCTTGCTCCGTAAATATATACCTTTGAAATGAAAAATATTTAAAAATTTAAAAATTTTTTTTTAAAATCTAAAAAAAAAAACTTTAAGTTACGTCAATATTACATGAGCATGACCAGCTTTTTCTGTATCTTTTTCTTCATTTCTAACCTAGCGAGTTCTTCTAGAAGAATACAGAGAAAATTTCAACTAGAATATTGGTAATTTAATATGTACCAAGGTTCCATCATTTCTCTTTTTGTTGGTGGAAAAAATCCTTTGCAATAAGTAAATAGAACGAACGATTACGAAATTTCCTAACAAATCACAACCCGAATGCAAACTAGCAGAAACGCTTCACTATTATCGCCTAGGTTGGTATATTGAGGGTTATCAAAAGATTATATAAAAGAATGTATATATTGGGATAAGTTTATTTTGGAATTTACTTTTTTACAGCGGTAAATCAAATTTTATTAAAGAAAAATTGATAAAACTGGTTTGTAATAAACATTTGGGTAAACAATTAACAAGTCTGCCAATTGCATAATTCAATTTTTTACTTTTCCTTTTTTCTTATCTAATTATTTACTCACACATTATAAATATAATACGACTTGCATTTAAATTGCAAAGTTTAAAGAATATATTAAGCACAACTTTATCTTCGTTTTAGGATAAAAATAATCTAATTTAACAATCAGAGTTTAAATTATGTAAAAGTTTATCATAACTTTAGTCCTCTAAAAGAAACTTGAACATTAGTTAAAAATTTATACAATAGTATAGGAGTTATTCGATTTAGTAGGGTTATTGAGGCGTTGAGTTTTTAAAGATTCAGGTTTAATCCTCGTTAAGGATTTTGGTAAATTTGGTAAGCTAGTTACAGAAGTATTTGTACAATCAAGATAATTTAAGGAGTTGGGTAATGTTGGTAGGATGGTTAATGGAGTACGAGAGCAATCAAATTCCGTTAAGGAGTTGGGTAATGTTGGTAGGATAGTTAGTGGAGTAAAAGAGCAATTAAGATAAGTTAAGGAGTTGGGTAAAGTTGGTAAGGTGGTTATCTGAGTAAAGTTACAAAATAGCACTTTTAATTTCCGATATCTTTGCAATCCTCCTAAGGCGTTTAATATGTCATCCTTATTAAGTTCTGGAATCGTTAAACTTTCAATAGTATCATCATAAATAATATCTGAAACTTCAATATTTGATTCTAATTCTTCTGCATTCA